GAGACTTACAGAGTTTTGGACTATAGTGCTTTTCGTCTGTGTCGATTAAGGACCGACCGTTGTTGGGCCTCGAGTCATGTTGAACGCATGCCTTACATTTAGCTGGCCGAATAAAGTACCTCTCGACCTCGAAGCTGGGAGATTATTCGGGCCGAGTAGATTGCCCGCAGCGCACTGTACCAGAGCAGGTGTGGTAGGACATGGGGGTGCGATGATAAGACCGAAAGGCAGTCGGTCGGCCCCCAGGTACATGTGGTTCCTTGCAAACTCGAGATTTTCCTGGATAGTTGACTCGGTGACCGATACCTCACTTTAGCGGGTGAGTGAGGTTTGTGTAAGGAATAAATCACCAGCTGGTTAGGAATCGATTCGAATCACCATCGCTCCTGGATAGTGAGCACTTGACTTGAGTGACTTCATCGTAGTAATGTTGATGGAACACTTAGACAGTTATAATGAATATAACATTATGGAAGTTGTTAATGATCATTGGTTATCATTATTTACTTAATCACATGCTTGCTCTAGTATGGGTGCAAATGTAGTCGACAGGTTAATAATAAGTAACTCAACAATAATGCTTTCGGAAATGTTCTTGAAATACTAAAAATACCTCTTTTTGCAAATGAGTCAGCTACCCTACTATAAAGCCCTTCATAATCTTTGGTGTCACTTTATTTTCGGTTATGTCGGGTAAGTCTAGCTGAGTACCTTCTCGTACTCAGGGTTTTATTCCCACTTGTTGCAGATGGACAGATGTATTACGGCTACTGTATCAACTGTCTTTATCCTACGATGGGTGATGCTTAGGACCATGGGCATGGTCATTCCTTATGTCTCGTCTAATGCTTTTGTTGGAGATGATCATCAGCTGGCACTGTATTCGAACTCCGTGTGAGTGTGTGTGGTTTTGAACAAATGGCTTCCGCTACTTCTATTTGAACTCGTTTTGTAATAACTATGTTTAAACTCTGATGTACCGATGATGCAAACTTTTATGTAATATGTGATGGTGACCGCTAAACTTATTACGATCTTGGCTGGTATGTGAGTTGGTTTAAAATCCTTCGTGATTTCACGGACTACCGGGTTATACGGGCTTAAGTTTGCTAAATCGTCTGCTCTAGCGGATGATTTTCTTACTTAATTTCGTATAATTGGTTGGTTCTATTACAGCTTGCTGACAAGTATCTGGAAACATTTAGGGTAGATCAGAAGATGAGCCTCACAAATTTTGCTAGGTTAGTACAGAGGGACTGGAACATAACTCCATCAAGGTCCAAGCTTGCTAGAGCTAAAAGATTAGCTATGAAGAAAGTTATGGGGGATAAGGTGGAGCAATACAAGTTACTTTGGGACTATGGTCATGAACTTAGAAGAAGTAACCCAGACAACAACTTCTTTCTAAACCTGGATGGCAATGTATTTAGCACATTGTACATGTCATTGGATGCATGTAAAAGAGGTTTCTTGACTGCATGTAGACCTATCATATGCTTGGATGGATGCCACATTAAGATTAAGTATGGTGGACAAATATTGACAACTGTGGGCATTGATCCAAATGGATGTATCTTCCCAATTACCATTGGAATAGTGGAAGTGGAATCACTAGTGACATGGAAGTGATTTTTGGAGACACTAAAAAATGACCTTGGCATAGATAAGACATATCCTTGGACCATCATGACAGATAAACAAAAGGTGAAACATAACACTATATCCTTTGTTGTAGTTGTTTGCCAGTGAAAACACCATTTTCATATGTTTGTCAACGCTCGGCACCACCACCACCCCATAGAATCTTCCTAGGTAGCAGCCAGAACACCTTCATGTTTGGATTCTTTGGGTAGTGTAACTTAAAAACAAGTTGCTCTATGAAAAGAGGAGACATTTAGCAACTTCTACGTGGTCAAACCAACTAACTCTTTCTTCCATATAGGCTTTGTTTAACCCTTGAGAAACAAAGCACCCCATGATGCATTTCCACTGAGAATTCTTCGTCATCAGTGCCTACAGAAGAAAACCCCAAAATCTACAGCATAAATGACCAATACATGAAACCCTAGCCGACAAAAGAAGATAATTTCTGCAACAAGCGAGATAATCGACGCAAGAAATACCTCCTAAACCAACCAATTTTAGAGTTCATGACATAGAAGAACTCACCATACTATGGCGCCTGTGCCCCCAGTGCTCGCAAAGAGGTCACCATCGCGCCGACCGGCCACGATCGGCGCGGCAGTCAGCGCTCGGCACCACCACCACCACAGAATCTTCACCGCCTCCACCGGCTACGTCGTCGTTGGTACCACCCGCCGCCTCCGTCGTCCCACCCAGCGCCCCGGCATTGTTTGAAATCTAGGGAGTGACGATGGCTTCGAAGGGAAGGGAGAGGAAGAGGTGAAGAGTGAGGGAATGGAAAGCATAGGGGGATATCAACAAAAAAACGATTAGCAAAGGGCCCTCACGTGATGCTCACATGACCTCTGGAGCACGGTGGCTGCTGACATGTATTGCCACATAGGATTTATTCCCCAAATGGAGAGGTATAGACCTAAATGGCACAACTTAAAAAGTTTATGTACTCAAATATGCACTTTCAGAGTTAATGGACCTGAATGACACAGCGCAAAAAGTTGATGGACCTACGGTGCATTTATCTTTTTTTTCCGACTACCGTTTGCCAAATCCTATCCATAAGAGCATCTTCGAGAGTCTTTCTAAAACTCGCCCTCTAAATTATTTTCTGTATCTTTTCACTCTCCAACAACTTTTATATATCTTGCGCGCACTCTATAGAGCCATTCTCGCTATCCATCGTTGGTTAGCGAGAAATACAGAATAGATATAACTATATTTTGATAACCAATTAAAGTTGTTGGAGGGTGTTCTTTCACAAAAATATCTATTTCTAACCATTAAAAAGGATATAGAGTCTTTCGGAGTTACTCAGCCTGTTCGGCTGGTACATAAAACTACTATTTACTAGTTTGTTCCGGATTCAATAATGTTCTGTGAGAGAGAATAAGCTAAAACAAGTTGAGACAAGCCGAGCCGAACACGGTGACCGTAAAAATGACACATCGATTCAGTCACGAAAACTTTTAAGGCCCTGTTTGACAGGGCTTCTCCACCGGCTTCAGGAGCCGTTTTCTACCAAACGGGGTAAAGTAAAATAGCTTCACTTGTGAAGCCCCTAAAAACATGCTCTCACAGTGATTTGGGGTGGGATGGGGCAAAAAAAGTGGCTTCTCCCGGCTCCTCCTCCGGGCCCCTAAAAACATGCTCTCACATGGAAGCCATTTTGCTAAACGGTTTACCAAAACCGCTTCAGCTCCATCGGTGGAACTGTTCGTAGAGCTGAAGCCAAAAAAATAGCTTCACTAGGGAAGTGAAGCCCTGCTAAACAGGGCATAAATCTCTACGTTAAAAATAACAGGAAATATCCAGGTCTACCCAGGCAGGGCAGGACGAAAACCACGACTCCATAGTCTCCCGACAATTGTTCCTTCCACCATCTAAAATGAATCGGTGCTGACAGGTTGGACCCACGTTCCCCCACCTTATGCGGCGCCCCCGTCCGAATTTTCTTTCGTCCCTCGCACTGCCCAAGCGCAGCCAGCCCCGTCGGCCTCTCCGTTGCTAGGGTTACGCCACCGCCGGCGCCATCCTGCACTGGGTTGCGCCTCCCATCCTCCGATACATCGCCCCGCGGATCCGGCTTCCGGTGGATCCGGCAAGGAAGCTCCATCCGTTCCCTTCCCTGCTTGTACGGCACCCACGGATGCCTAGGCAACACAGGATCCGCGGAACCACCACCTGCCTTCTGCGCGCTCCTCACCTCCGCACTTCCACACGAACCCACCTCCAATGGAGCCCGATCTGAGCGGCCTCTCCTCTCCGCGATCCACCTTGAGCCCTTCCCTATCCCGTGGCCCCGTGGGCAACAGCAGGAAGAGATTGGCTGCTGTGGGGTGCTGCAGCGACTAGCAGTGAGGATGACAAGGGACGCGGCGCCAGGGGAATGTACGGCCACGAGTTTCCGTAAATACGTCCTTTGCTTCCAGTATGTTCCCTTTTCTAATACCAATTTTTTATGTGCGTTATTGAGCAGATTTCAAACGCGAGAGACACCACTTTGTTTCTGCAGGGATATGCAAGCAAGACAGTCAGTTTTAAGGTACTCTTTGACGAGGCTTATGCTCGGCTTTGGCTTCATCTATTTTACGTAAAACGAGGTGCTATAACGTGAATTTATTTTATAAGCCGGGATTAAAATGAACTAGAAGCCAGAAAAAACCAGTTTTTCTGACTTCACCGATAAAACCATTTTAGATAAACCGTGCCAAAGAAGACTTAATTAGGCAAATTTTGCTCCAGGACAGGTGTTGGTCAGTTCACACAGCTAATCTTGAGCTCGTTCGGCTGGTGAATTTTAGATTATTTCAGATAATTTAATAATGTTTTGTGAGAAAAAATAAACTGAAACAAACAAAAAGTAATACAAAATAAGTAGGGAGTAATACAGCCGAACGTCCTGAAAATTTGTCAGCTACCATTATAAAATCGTGGATGCTGTGCTGTAGGACACCACAGCCATTATTTTAATAATTTTCTTAGATTTGAGGAGAGAGAAGATTGCAAAATGTCATTTTTGGCTTTGTCTTCGTCCTCTTGCCCTTCTCCTTCCTTCGGCCGCCCAGCTGCCTGAGGCTGCTATCAAACCTGGCGCTTCCCTCACCCATGACTATATTCTCCCTCGTCCTATTCACCTACTCCCCGGCATCGTTTGGTACGTACTTCAAAATGCACATCATGAAATGAGTCCGTGATTTTGACCTGGACAAGAACGGGAATCGGATGCATCTCATGACATCGGTGACCCCTCAAGACGGCCGGCTTCTCTACAGAAAGCTGCTCGGGAAGCGGAGGAGATGACAATTGACAAGGAACAACTCGCAGTTGCACCTGATGCTGGCGATCTGCTATAGCGGGCGATGGGACATCGTCGTGCCGAGATCCGAGTGACACCGGCAGCGGCACCAGCGCCGTCCGCCCTGACATCTTCCTCCCAGGGCGCGCGCCATTCCCGGGTGGAGGCTGGCCCAGATCCGAGTACGGCGTCGAGAGGCAAGATGACGGGTGGCGGCGACGTCGCAGGCGTACGACGAGGCCTGGTACTGGGACGAGCCTACCGCAAGAGACCGGGGCCTTCGACTGGTGCGAGAAGTACTCAGCCCTCGCGCCGCCGCACCGCCTACCTCTGCCACATCGGCAGCCACGCCGAGGAGCCAACGCGCGCCGAGGGGTTGGGGCCGCGCCGAGGCGCCGATGAGCGCCGCCGCACCGAGGTGCCGGGCGGGCGCCTCCACCTCTGCCACATCGGCAGCCACGCCGAGGAGCCAACGCGCGAGGGGTTGGGGCCGCGCCGAGGCGCCGATGATCCGCCGCACCGAGGTGCCGGGCGGGCGCCTCCACTTCCGTCCGTCGCCCTGCTAATTGGCCACCGCCCGGTGCTGGGGAAGATGAGAAATTGAGAACACGAGTATGAAGGCAAGGGCAAAAACGACAATTCATCATCTTCTCTCTCCTCAAATTTGAGAGAATCATTAAAATAATGGTTGCAGTGTTCTACAACAAATCACCACGAATTTATATATGGTACCTAGCAAATTTTGGTGTTGGTGGTGTGAACTGGCTAATTTCATCTTTATCCAGTGTCCTAGCACAAAATTTGCCTTTTAATTAGGGACCTCTCTCTGATGCTTGGTGATCCATGGCATGCAGTAAGCTAATATTTCACTTGTTAGTTCTGAGATTCAAGTCTTACAAAAATGAACCCCCTACCACAGATTATGGTATTGACTCTGTCAAGCCCATCTATGCTAAGAAGTCACTCGATTCAAGCCTATTACATGCTTAAGCAGCGGCCTGTTGTTCCTGCTCGATTCAAGCTACCATGACAGAGACAATGGGCATCCTTTTGTTATTTCTTAGCTAGGGAAATGATTCTAGATCTCCACTCGTTCTTATTGATATGTTTGATTTAGTTCCGTGATTATTATCCGGATCCCCTCATTTATTGATATGTTTGATTTAGTTCCGTGATTATTAAGAATAATTTGAGCATAAGTTCTTGTGCTCTATGCATATGGATGCTCAGTCACATGTAGAATTCTGGCAATGTGTGATTGTAGTGTTATTAGAAGTTATTTATTTTTTCTTGATTTCAAATATATTGATATACATACCTGAACCTGATAAACAATTTATTGTTTTTTCAACTCATGGACGAGTTGAGAAACATCATATACTCCAAAGCATTTCACTTTTGTTGTTCTTAAGTTGATGGAGTTTTAATCCTACCTATAGTACCTGCATATTGTTATAGTTGCTTCTTTGCACATTAGTTTTGAAAGTAAAGCCTGAACATATACTCTGGATTTGGTCTTGGTGAATATGTGCACCAATGTCTGATGATTTTTATACATATAGTTCTCTTGTCTGAAAGTATTTGAACTATTCACATTGGTTTCTCGTCTAATTCTATCTGTTTAGTAATGATGCTTTCTGATTCATTTTCCAAACTGTATAGCTAGCACCTAGCAGTGTAACATACTGATGCCCTCCGATGCAGATTGCATATGCAAAACTGCTTGTTCTTCAACAATGTAATAAATAATGGCTTGGTTAACACTATTTATATGAGCATAGTCTTGAGTAATTTTGGAGGAGTATTCAATACTATTCAATAAGTTAGCGCTGCCTTATTTTTTCAAAAGTATATTATGGATTCATAGTTATCTGATTGTGGCTGCAACAGATTGGGAAATGTAAGATTCATGTTTTTTGGTAACTAGCATAGCATTGGGTAATTTTGCAGGATTATTCAGTTTTTGTGTGCAAGAGACATATGAGTCACTAATTAGATTTGCCTCTTTTGCTTTCCAATTATCCATATCAAGTCAAATGCCTGTGTGCTCATTTCTTCTTTTTGTTGACAAATATGGAGTGAATAAACAGTTGCATACCATGTGAGAGCTGGAAGTTCCATACCATTAAGAGTTGACGCTATGAAGCAATCCCATGCTCTTTCAGAGGCTAATGGGTGCTTGCTAGATCTGGCAAAGGCTTGCACTAAATTGAATCGAGGAAGCAGCATGTTCCCTTTCAAATGTGTTTGCAAGCAGCAACATCTCCCGCTACAGTTGCCTATCAGAACAAGCTAGGTATGGCATACGCAAACGAGTTGTGGCTTGATTGGTTGGGCATGCTCGGTGGAGCACCCACCGCCCGTGTTCTGAGTGCTGCTCAGCGCGGGTTTTCGCAATGTCTACCGTCTCGCGTGGTGCCACAAAGGATTTGCGACATGCTCATTGTCTACAGAGCCATGGTTGGTCCCAGTAATCTTCAAAGGGACGTGGCTTCTTCTATGTGTAGTTGTAGGTCTTGTAGTGCACGAGTGGTGTGTGAGGTATGTGTACGTAGATTGGGTGTATGGAACAGATGAGAGGCTTCAAATAAAAAAAAAGCTAGGTGTGGCATACACTATGCTGAGCAGCATGTCTACTTTCATTCACATGCCTAATCACTTGCTATTGCAATTTTTCTTGTGTAGAAAGAAAACATTAAATTAATTGTTGGGCGCATCAGGACGATGAAATTAACAAGAGATTGGAATATTCGTATTGTGCTTTATTTTGGTTCAAGTGTCTACTATTATCATCCAGTATTTTGAATGAAACTGATGATAGTTGAATGTAACTCATTTTACACGATTGTTGAATGTAACTGAATAACAAATAGTATGATCCATCGTTGAAACCTGTAGGTTGCAGGACCCTAATATATTATTGGCAATTTGAAGTATTTTCGGAATTGCCTGTTTACTACAATCTATATGTGAAGTCTGCATATAAAAAGTTTAGATAGGTAGAAAGAACCCCATTGTCACGTTTTTCTTCTGTCGTAACGCACGGGCATGATCCTAGTAGAATATGGAAACTCACAATTGGAATTTGACCAATTCCAGCTCGGGAAGACTTACTTTGTCACAGTATTTCTATAGCAAGCAAAATTGCAAATTCAAGACATTCAATAAAGCCTGATGACCAGATATCCACGTTTTAGTTCAGAAATCTTCAGAGACTAGGTAGCAATCATGGTTCTAATAAGCCTTGGTGCTGACATAATGCTTTATGATACATCTCTGGTGATACTACAGTAGTAGCTCAGGATGTCATCGGATATTCCTGCATATGATATAGTTTGGCTAATTTACAACTGTAAGATCCCGGCCATAATTTTTTTTTCTATTCTTCCAGCTATGTTAAATAAAATAAATTCAAAATGCTTGCTTGAGCACTTCGCCCAGAGGTCTGCAAATGCCCACCAATAACAAATTATTTTCAAACAGGCTAAAACCCTTGAATGCCCATATAAGATTAGAAACGAACAGAAGACAGAATGCACCAAATTTAAACATAACACAGCTATTTGTTCCTTCAATTCTGTACTCAAATGAATATAAGGGGCCGTTTGGATCCTTTCATTTGGAGGAACTAAAATTTACTTAATAAATTAGGCTATTTGGCTTAGAATTTAACATTCCATCACTTTCTAAAGTTCACATATAAGCCTGTCCTAAATTCATAGGGTGGGAGATAGAAATTGATTCTATATATCATCATTCTATGTTTTGACTTTGCAACTTATAACACACTCCTCATCTCCCTCTTCTATGGTAGAAATGCAACACATAAGTATCTCTCTCGTATAGCCAACAATAATATACAAATATAATTCATATATAACCATATTAGCTTAACTAATATGTGTCTAAATTATGATTATTAAAATGAATTCAATTCCAAGGATCCAGATGGGCCCTAAGTGAAATGGGATCTCGGGATCAAAATAGCACAAGAACAACAGAGATTGTCACAAAGAGCATACAGCTGCCACCAACTCAGGGCTCAGGTTCAAAATTAACTGAGTTGGCACTCTACAGAGTAAAATATTTAGGCAACATATCTCCACCCAAAATACCTCCTTATAAGCAAACTGGCCTGAGTATCCTGAGTAATCAGGCAGTCATACTCATTTTTAGATCAAAGGCCCCGCCAGCTTTATTAGAAAGCTTAAGGAGATCCCCAATCCAACACTGGGATTACCAGGTTACAATGCAGTACCAGCAAAAGGGAAAACTCTAGGATAAAAGTTCTCACTCAACTCTCCTTAGCACATCTACCAACCTTTTGCTTAAGCAAGAAACTTGAATAACACTGAGAACCAGGTTTCTCAAAACCACTCGACCCCTACTACAAACCGGCAGTCATACTCATACCCATTAATATTGTTAATTACTCGGCTTTGCTTACTTGTGAAAGGAAAGGTGGCCTGTTACTGAGTGTTTGACCTTGTACTCAGGTGGCCTGTTACTGAGTGTTTGACCTTGTACTCACCCTGATACAGAGAGCAAGATTCTCAAAATTAAATAAATAAATGAGACTGTTCGACATTCTAATGACAGCTTGAAAAATCAAAATGCCTGTAGTAAGCCAAATAACCAAGCTTACAATTGTTAGACAAATTTACCAATGAACATAGACTCCAACTGCAGGTAGGCGAGATACAAAACAATTGGTCGTGGGAGGACAATCAAGATTAACACATAGACTCCAATGACCCATGACCATTGTATCACACAACTGAGTTCAAAGGTAACTATTTCAGAAAACACAGGCAACTACCACGTTTATTATGTTTTTGCAATTAGATTCACATAAGTTTTTTTTTTGGCCATTGGTCAGGGTTCACAAACAGGTTAACTAAATGTACTGTACCTCACAATGTGGTCCATATTGAACTTTGTTGAAAAAGTCCCTCAGATCACAAAGGCACTAGAAGCAACCACACTTGTTATTGCATTTTTTACCGCTTCGTAAAATGTTTACCACGCTGGGGAATGATATTGTATTTGCCTGCTCCTCTCCAGTGGTCTCTGTTGTTCAACAAAAAGGCTTTAAATTCCTTATCAAGTTGCGTATCAGAGGCAAAACCTTTTTCCTTCATTTCGTCGTAGTACTCTAAAGCTCTTGGTATACATCCATGTTTTACTAAACCTTCAACCACTGTCATATAGTGTGAATGGACAGGGCTGATCTCATATTTTCTCATTTCATTCCATACTCTTAGAGCATTCCCAGACTCGTTCAGCAAGAAAAATTATCAATAAGCATGAGAAATGTATCACTCTTAGGGCCACAACCATCCTCCTTCATTTTCTGCAAGAGCTTCAGTGATTCGTCAATGCCTTCTTGCTTCAAAAATGCATGGTAAGTTGAAATGGTAGGAACGATGCCCTTAAGTATCATGCTTTCCATCACCATTCGCGCTTCATCAAGCTTACAACTTTCACAGAGTGGAACTATCATATTGTTATATGTTTCAACATCCGGCTGGAGGCCTTCATCTGTAAGTTTGCTGAATATATTGTGTGCATCCTTCACACAATTTTCTCTTGTCAGAACATAGA